GTCCCAGCTGAATTCTAGTATGTATGAAAATTAAACTCTGCTACAACACATGAAGGTTTCATAAAATATTTATGACCAGATTAGTCTTTGTTGAGAAAAACAAAACATGTGAAGTGTGCAAATTAGCTATCCTCTGGTTAAAAATTGCGTGTGCCTTTAAATTTATTGGCATATTTAGGCTACAAATAAAGGTAGGTTTTCAACAAATTTTTTTTTATAGTAGAAGTCCAATAATTTTAGTCTGTTTTTTTTTTCCCTTGGGTATAGCACATATGTTTAACAAATTATGAAAGACATTTATTGACTGTGACCTGGATTCAAGCTTTATTTAGTTTGGAGTAGAACTGTGGTGTGATTTGCAGCTAAACAATCTCAAGGAATTCAATGACTCCTTTGATACTTTGAACCAGATACTCTGAACTCTCTTCCTTATAAATAGAGTTCCATTACTTCCATTAGGTTTAATCCATTAGGATTATTGTTGGGATTAAATGACATAACATATGTAATGTGTCTAATACAGTGCCTGACACTTAGGTTCTCAGTAAATGGAGTTCCTGTGTCATTTTTAAATATCATTCTTATCATCGACTTAAGTTATTCCAAAAATATGGTCACTTACAACATATGCAGGGAAGAAAAACTTATTTGGATGAGCTGGAAGACTCAAGCCTCAAGTGTAGCAATAAATCTGAGTTTCACATGGTTATTCAGGATTTTAGCAATTTCATGGATCTCTGAAGGCGATGGATTCCAGGATGGAGAACCCTTTTGGAGAGTGTACTTGCCCTCTAGGGTCCCCTGCACGGTGAGAAAAGGTTTGCATACACATGAAATAAATCACATTTCTTGTGCTAGCCTCACAACTTTTGGTAAATCTAAATCTCTTCTAAAATAAACATTTTAAAAATACACTCTGAGAAAATAACCCGAAATGAGAATACGCACACATATACATACTTTTGAAGGTGGAAAAGTTTTAACACTGAACATTTGCAAATAAACCAAGCCTGAAAAATTAGTGAACATAACTGAGTGATCAACAGATAAGAGTAAACACTATATTGCCATTAAAGAGTCAAAAATGTAGAATATGCTGATACATATATGAAAAATCATTCATAAGTGAGATGTGAAAAAGCTAAACACATTATTAGCATGTTTACTCTGGTTATAAAAAAATTTCAGAAGACAGCTATATTCACGTTAAAAGTAATTTCAATGTGAAAATGTAACAGTGAGGCAGTGGCATTTCAAATCTGTAGATATTTTTCATGGATATTTCAAATAAAGTATTTGTAAGAAATATTCCCTTATTCAGATGGAAACAGTCCTCTTATCACTCAAACTAGTTATTCTGAACATTTTGTTTTGTTTTTCTCAACCTAATTGTTAGATTCTTGAGAGAAAGCACCCTCTCTATTCCATAAAACAGTGTCATCCACAATGCTGTCTATCTCCAGGCCTGGTATAAAGTAAGAATTCAATAAAAGTTAATTAATAAATGTAATAAAATTTTAATTTTTTCCTTAAATAAAAACTCATTATATTTGCTAGTGGACATAAAAGAAACCTAGGAATCTGCCATGGATTTATAGAGATAGTCTAATAAAGAGTAATTATCCTTAAAAATTAATTTCAGGGTTTTGAATGCTTACAGGAAAAGTTCTATACTTGCTCCTATAATTTTTTTAATATAATCTATTTGTTAAACTTTAAAACCTTTTCTAGACTTTATAGTTCAATATCATAAAAATTAAAAAAATTTTAATTTCCATTGTTATAATACACAAACAGAAAAGTACTCAAAGGTGTTTAGCTTGTCAAATGTGGTAGATGTAATTATTGCTTAGCAAATAGACACTCATTCTCTTTTTCCCAACAACCTTCAAGGGAAAAGGATAGCCCTCACCCCTTTGATATTGAACCTGGCTATGGGAACAGGCTTTGGTCAACAAGATGTCTGTAGATATGATGTGAGAAGAGGCTTGTAATGAGCTTGCACAGTTGGGTTTGACTTTTGCATTTTTCCCATTACAAGAGAAAAATGTAATTTGAGTAGCCACTGGTTTCTAGCAATGAAAGACAGACAAAACAGGCCTGGTCTAACTCTCTTCTAGAGCCAATGTGGATCCAGCTGAACCTCACGTAGATCAAGCACTAATCCATAGATCCCTGGAAGGGAAATAAATGACTACTGTCATGTGATACTGAGTTTGGGGATGGCTTGTTACACAGCTTTATCATGATAATTACTGATTGATGCAATTGACATTGCACTGAATTTATAATAATTAGAAGAGAATTGACATCTTTGTAAAGTATCGAGTCTTCCAATTCATAATTGTGGTTTATCTTTCTGTTCACTTAGGTCTTCTTTAATTACTCTCAATAATACTTTTTTTTGAATGATTACTTTAAAATCATTGATTTGATTTATTCTTAGATTATTTTTATATTCTTATAAATGGCATATTTTGAAAGACTCAAATTGAATTTTTTGGTTGGAATATAAAAATTATTCTATCCAGGAATCTTGCTAAAGTTTTTTTTTATTAAGTCTAATACCTTATTTGTAGGTTATTGAGGATTTTCTCTTGACAATCACATTGTCTGTAAATAATGACAATTTTATTTTCTCCTTTGTAAGCTTTGTATCTTTTATTCCTTTTTCTTGTCTTTTTGCATTGTTCTAGGACCTTCAGCAGCATGTTTAATAGAGGTGGAAATAGTGGTTATTCTTTACTTATTCATGGTCTGTCACAGGTTGGGTGCCCTCAGAAAGAGATCTTGAGATGGAGATTAGTGTGCAGACATTGTGTGAGGAGTGGTCTTGCGAACTACCCATGTGGATGGAATGGGGTGAAGGAGGCCTGGACTGAGGAAGAAGCTGGGCTACAATGTCATCTCAGTGAATGCCTCAACCGACCCATGAGGAGCTGTGGAGCTGAGGCATCTCTTTCAAGTTCTTCCAAGTAAGGGAAGAGGACCAGGCTTTGTATCTCCGTATCAACCAGTAATTGGTTGAAGACTACCCAATGAGGAATGTGATGTGACTCTGGGTGAGGTGACTCTCCTCAGTCAATACAATTGCTAAAGTGGGTGGACAACTAAGAGCTCTCTGCTGGAAATACTCCCAGAGGCTGGGGTAGGGCCCTCTAGGCAGCATCCACTATACAATTTTCGGTGGGAAAGAATTTAACTTCACAATATTTGTGCCTTAGTGTTCCCTAAATAATAAACACAACAATAATAAAGATGATGATGATAATGAGAAGAAAAAACAACAAATAAGAACAACTGACATTTCTGTAACAGAATGTAAAGTGGTCCTTTTCCCATTGTCTCCCAGTGCTTTGTGTCCATTACTTCAGCCTGTTTAAGAGAACATAGGAAATTTAAAGAGGAAGTACGCTTTGTCATATTCTTCCCTCCCTTAAGACAAGATAGAAAGATAAGGCTTTCTAAAGAGGTTTTTAAAAATTCTGATGTTGTTTCTTTTGTGCTGCTGTTTTTTCCCCCCTCAAGAGAAGAGAATGGAATTTTATTCCCTAGCTGGATATTTACTGAACTGCATAAATGCATCGTTATACCTTAGGCTACCCTGAACTTTAGAGCATTTGGGGAGGTACACTGACATAGAGACTGGTGCCTGCATTTGGTCGGGGATTCTGAAGTCTGAGGTAGGTTGGAGCTGTCCATTACAGAGGGAGGAGAAAAGAGGGCACTTTGATATCAACAGCATGAATGCAAATATGGGTCAAGTAAATCCATTGAAAATAGCCACTATGCCATCTTGACAGGATCCTGCTGAAGGAGATGGTTCATGGGGTGTGAAGGTCTTAGCTGAAAGAGTCTGTGTTCACCGGGATGAGAGTGGAAGGTGCAGAGCTGAGAGGGGTCATGAGAGGTCAGCAGGAAAAGTTACCGCCTGTGTGAAGGAATGGTGCCCTGTAGAGGTCCAAGAGGGGGTCTCCAGACAAACCTCAAATGTCCTCTAGGAGAGAGCCTACATTTAGAACCTGTCATAATTGAGGACACAGGTAGATTATACCAGCCCTAGACAAGTAAGACTTTGACTTTTTCCTTTAACTCTCTCTCTCTCTTTCTCTCTCTCTCTGCACCTAAATATCCTTGTCCTCCAACTCTCTTCCATCCCCATGACCCCGACAGTGCCAGTACCACATCAAGTAAGCGAGGAAGAATGAAAGACCAACAAACCTTCTCAAGCCACAGATCTGGCCTGAGCAGGTGGAGGGGGGCATAAGAGCGTAGGGGTGGCATTGTGGGAGTAGACCCTGAATTAGATACGGTACTGCAAGTGTGATTTAATCTTAAATTGTAACTTTATAAACAATTACTGTGCCTGTTCACGATATTGCCAAGATGTAGAAAAGGGTGATCTAACTTACCGTTAAAAGCAGTGAGAGAAAAATACAGCCCCGATTCTCCACTAAAACCAGACAATAACAACAGTAGTAATAACCAGGAGAAGTAATCACTAACCTTTTTTTTTTTCCGTGTTTTACCTTTTATGAAATACTTCCACGTGGACTTCCTCATACACATTATGTTCTTGACCTTCCTCAAAATACAACAATAATCAATATTGTTTTTCTGTCCACTTCAGGATCTTGGAGCAATCTGTGGCCTTCCTAGAATATTCTTCCTCCTATTTTAGCCTAGTTAATTCTTGCTGCTATTCCAGAGCCCAGATCACATGTCTTTGCCTCCAGAAAGCCATCTCTGACCCTCCAGTCAGATTCATCCATTCTCTGCTTCCACAGCACCCACTGTTTCTCCTTCATAATACATTTCACAATTTTACTTTAACAATTAGGTAATTCATTAGTTAATACTGATCTCCCCAGCTAGAATGTTAGCTTCATGAAGGCAGGGCCCTCGTGGATCTTGCTCAGTGTTGATTTTCTGGTACTTATTACAGAGACTTACACATAGTAGGGGTTCAGTAGATGTTAGCTGAATAAATGGAGAAATGATGGAAGAAAGAACCAACATGCCTTGAGAGTCCTTGTTCCTGCCTAAGAGGAGTTTCTTTGGTTTCCAGGGTGCAGAGAGCTGCAGGCTAACATGCCTTCCTGATCGTGGCCATTTGTGGCTGGATTTGATGCTTTCCTCTGGCCTGTTAAGAGACACTGAGCTGGGTGTGGAGGGCCATCACTTGTCATGAGGTGGGTACAGGAAGGAGGGGGAATAGAGATGGCTCAGGAGTGTGGGCCACAGGTGGACTTGTTAGTTTTTGTTTTTGTTTTAAAGACAGCAGTTCTATTCATTAGCAAGAATGCAAGTCCCTTCTACCTTCATCCTTATATAGTGGGAGACTGGCTTTTTTTTAAGGCAAGTTCTCTGGTTCCTATGAAGAAAAGTGCTATGTAAGTCCACGACGTTATTTTTGACTAATCAAAGGGAATAATGTCAGGCTAACATCAAGGACAATGCTTTTGATAATTTTTTAAAAGATTATGCATGCTATTTTTTATTCTGCAGTCAATTAGACTCTCCTATTTAAACATAAAACTGAGCGGCTGATGGTTCTCTTTTTACTGGCATTTTCCTACCATGAAAGATTGAGCATATTTTTCTAATGAATTATTAGAAAAGATCAACCACCCATCTATAAAAACTTTTAAGACCACTCTATCCCCTCCCTCCTGGCATTTTAAAACATTTAAACTAGCTTGGTAATGTTTTAGAATTCTACTCAGTTTAGAGTGTTTCCAAAAATACATAAAGGTTTACCCTGAGGCTTCCAATTAAGCTAAAGCAAGTTTCACTTCACTGAAATGTTGTTTCTTCTTTGACTTTTGAATATGTTGATTATTAAAAATCTTTTCAGAGTCAGATTATTATCCACTCACATTTTCCCTTCTCAACAGGTTGGCTTTGTAACCTTCATTTGTTGATGACTATCTTTGAACTGATCAACTAAGAGGTACCATAGGACACAAGAAGACAGGTAGTTACATAAGTTAAATTTCAGGATACATGTATCAAATCATGCTGCACACCTAAAACTAATACAATGTCATGTCAGTCATATCATAAATAATTTCAGGGAAACTCCCAAGAAGTTTAAAGAATAAATGTGGCCAGTGCCATGTGAGTAAATTAAATACAGCAACTTAATGGAAGAATTATTTACTTTTGTTGATAATGGCATAATCTTAGTGGCCAATAATTACATAACTAATATAATATATAATTGTAAATAAGTTTATAAGCCAAAACATATAAGAAGTTTATGAATAAAGGGAATATTTCCCCCCTATTAATCTGGTTTAATTAAAATTAGGGACCAGATCCTTCTTGGGAAGATAATCAAGGCACATTACCAGACCAGTCAGAATTCCAGAGGTGTACCTGGCTCAGATTCAGGCTGAAATGTTTGGTCTCAACCATGTAACTATGTAACTTCATGATGAGCAGAATAGGGATCAGAGTCATATTAACTTAAAATAAAGTTATAGTACGTTTAATATTTATGTTTGCCATGCTGGTAACACTTGATGGATTAAAGCTATTATTTAATTTAGAAAAAAAATTGATCTTGTGAATAATATTTAGTTTCCCACTCAAAGATATGGGATTGCTCCTTATTTATTCAAGGCATTTATTTGTATCTCTAATGGAGTTTTTGGCTTGAGCCTAAGCCAGGTACACCCTTGGAATTCTGACAGTTCTGGTGGTATCTGCAAAATTAATGGGCAGTCTCCCTGAGGCTTAATTGCATGACAGAATGGGGCTTCTGCTGGAAGAGAATTGATGCTCAGGGAAGAGGGTGTCAGACAACTAGTGAAATCAATATCAAATCCTTGGGCCTAAGTGGGGAACAGGCTGCATAGAGCCCAGTATTTATCTCCTGTTGCAGTCCCTCAATTCTTCCTTCATATCTAAATTTCCCAGAGGAGACACTCTGTAATTAAAAAGAGGAAATACTGGGTTCTTGTAAACTGGCCGTCAGGTCACAAGCGCATTTCTTTGGCTCTCCTCTAACAGAGTATAACCCTAAATGGGAGAGGGGTCCTCTCTAGTCTCCACTATGGAGTGCAGTGCAGCACTGAACGCAGGACTCAGCGGGCAGGTGAGACTTGAACCAATGGACAAAGAAGTTGCTGGTCAACCCAGTGGAGGTGGCAGCTGTGGCTGGCAGTGGGGGACAGAAGGACATGCAGGGAAGTGGTATAGCCACCAGAGGAAGCCGGAGCACCCAAAGGAATGGTGGAATTCAACAGAAGTGCAAACACAGAAGGAGGAGCACCTGGAGGAAATGGAGGACGGAAGGTAGGCTGCTCACGTAAGGAAGGAACACCCCGCAACTGCTGGCACTGGGGAGTGTGGAGCAGCTTCCATTTAGCCTTTGTGGCAAAGGGAAGAACACCTCCAAAGGGAGGCATATTGTCATAATGTTGCTGGCTTTTCAGCTCATGTGCGACATTCCCTGGGGACTTCTGGATGGCATGGGTGGATGGTGGGGGAAATTTTGCAGAAGAAAGACATTCTGAAAAGAGCAGGTGGGAAAAGTGCCTGTGAACGTGGCTTACTGAAATTGGTGAAATACGATTTTAATTTTGGGGTTGGCATCTTCTGGGGTAATAGGCCTTGATACTTAAAGCAACTTTCTTCATAAGGTCTTAAATATCGTATGGGTTGGTTCGTCTGAGTTTTGATAGCTAAGTTAGATTTTTTTCTGGCTTTGTATTTTAATTAGTTTATAGTCATCTATTTCTCCAAACAAAAATTTGAAAAACAACAACAAAAAAAAATTGAAGCAAATTACAATTAAAAAATGAAATAAGAAGTGCCCAAATTTAATGTAAAGGTGACAATGAGAATAAAAATTTAATAACCCCCCAAGTTTCCTTATGAGTTTCATTCTAGGTTAGCTACTACAATTGAATATAGAATGAGTTTTGGATATTCTAGTAGTAAAAGAGAAAATTATGTTAGACTGTATAATACTTTTACATTTTTAGGTGGTATTACCCTCATTTTAAGTTACTGTTTAACTCTTTTAAAGTGTTTTCTCTTAAACACATCTCATTTAAATAATTCAAACAATACAAAATGTGTACAATAAAATAAGGATTCTACTGTCAGAAATACTTTGAACACATGATATATGTCCTTGAATTTTTTTTCCTACGTATTTTTGACTATCAATACAAAAAAGTGAAGCCCTAGAGAGAGGCTTCCCTGGAGGGGTTCTGACTTGAGTGAGCCTTGTCATTTCTATGTATTAAAGAAATAATAATAAGATCATAACTAAATTGCTAATATTTTGCTTGCATATGGAGGACTAAAGATTTAGAATTTTTCAAAGACATCTGTATGTTCCAAGTGTTCTACATTAACTATGTGTTACATTTTAAATTAAAACAAAAAAATCTGTCAATTTAAATAAATAATACCAGTTTCTAAGGGCACAGATGCAAAAAGACTTTAAAGCAAAGACTTACATGTTAGGCCAGTTGGTAGTATTTGGATGGTAAAAAAAATCTGTTAGAGGTTTGCATGAACTGTTCGGCAGGACTAACAGGCTGCATACAGGCC